TACTACTACTACTACTACTACTACTACTACTACTACTACTACTACTACTACTAATAATGATAATAATATGATGATAAGGAGAATAATGATAAAAATAATGATAAATGCTGATAATTTTTTTATCGAGTGTGTCGGTCTTTCAGATGCAATGTTGTATCCCTGTCAGTGCAGGTTGATACTGAAAGGCTGGGTTGGAAGCCAGCCTCCTAAAATGTTCAAGAAAACTACAGTTTTATTCGATTTCAGTATTTTAACGAGCGAGTGATTTCATTACGATACCTCACATTCGTCATATGATTAAACGAGTGTGGTCTCACCTGAGAAGTCCAGGGACAGGTATACAAAGAAAGTGTGAGCTCGACAGGCCAGGCTAGAGGTAAGGCGAAGGTAAATGTCCTGGGTCTCTTCAAGCCACAGTCTGAAGGGAACAAACGTTTCAGATGTAATAGCAATGATAACTATACAAATATTGAAAATAATGAAAACAGTAACAAGAATCATGATAATAAAAATAATTTTGATAATAATGATCATCATGATAATAACCATATTATTAATAAGCATAGTAATAATCATAATAATAATAGTCATAACGACAATAATAGCTCGTTCGTCAATTTCTGGCGATGACCAATACATCGCAGAGGAGAATATTAAAACTTCTCCAACGAATTAAAAAGACTTAAAGGTTAATAATAATATTGATTGTGGCTTCTGCTGTGGCAGATAAGACCAAATATGGTTGAAAAAAAGTTGACAACATTTTGTCTTTGGTGTAAAAAGCACCCAAACGGTCTTGAGTGGGTTGCTTTTGACACCGAGGATAAAAGTATAGCCTAGCGACGACATTACTGTTTCTTAATGCTGTACTCGTTGTCATTGTGAAATTGAGGGTTGACATGAATCTTTGTGAATAACCACAAGCTTCACTGTCTCACAATTTTGAGGTTATATTCTTTTTCTCTCGACAAGGTTGATATTAAATTATTCTTTTCGTTTGGGCTATTTTAATCACATACCGCAAAAGCGTTGGTCATATCATACAGAGAAAAAAAAACAACTTGATATGATAGAGTAAAAGTGTTGTCAGTTTTGGGATTCAGAAACCTGGAATTATTGCAAATCAAGTCTCAAACTCAAAGTGGCAGAAAAAAAAGAAGTTAAATTTGGTTGGCCAGTGTTATCAGTATCATGTACTTTCCAAATATCAGATTTTTAAAAACAATTTATTCGACAGTACCGTACAATACACATCAATTGATGTACAGAAATGTGGGAAGATATGGAATAACACCAAGAGTCTAGCCCAGGATAGGGAAGGGTGGAAAGTGTTTGTTTGTGACCTATACCCTGGTGCAGGGTGAGAAAGTCAATGATGATGATCATCGCACACTAAAACTCCGCATGCAAAGATCTCTCTCTCTCTCTCTCTCTCTCTCTCTCTCTCTCTCTCTCTCTCTCTCTCTCTCTCTCTCTAATATACCTATCTTTCCATCCATCCACCCATCCATCCATCCATCCATCCATCCATCCATCCATCCATCCATCCATCCATCCATCCATCTATCTAATCTATCTATCTATCTATCTATCTGTCTGTCTATCTATCTATCTATCCATCCATCTATCTATCTATCTATCTATCTGTCTATCTATCTATCTATCTATCTATCTATCTATCTATCTATCTATCTATCTATCTATCTCGTCTCTCACTCCCTCACCTGACAAGCCCTGTGTAGAGCACCATAAGGTCCCCCACGGCCAGCATAGACAGATAAAACATCGTGCTCTGGCGTCTCATCGAGGGCTGGCACAGGACGAGCAGGGAGACAAGGCTGCCCACAGTCCCTGGGGTTGGTTGGGGGAGGGGAGGAGTGAGGGAGGGAAAAGTGAGACAGGCGTGTAGACAGATGAATACGAAAGCGGTGTGTATAGGCAGGATTGGTTTGGATGGGTTGGGTTGGTTTCGGTTTCTGGTGGCTTCGGTGAACACTATAAATATACCCCTGCCCCAAACCCGATGGCCTTGAAGTTGAAGACAAACTTGTTTGTTGTTGAAGGTCATCGTCAGTTTCGATCAGTTTGTGCCACGATGGTAGCTTTTCTCCTTCCATGGAGTAATATCTGGCTAGCAATGACGACCAATTTAATCGAACCGATCCGAATTGACCGTTCAAATTGGCACAGGGTATTACAATAGTGTTTACGCCTGTGGCTTGAGATTGTAAAGGCTTGTCGCCACTGTATCCCTCTAAGCCCTGGATGGTCATGACTGACTAGACTGAAAAAACCTGCTTCGTAATTAATTCTCTAAATTATGTCGATATGGGTCGTTTAAAACTACATCAACTTTATTGTAAGGTACAAAACAATTCAGGGTTTAAGTCACTTCCTGACAATATTTGCTTTTCTATATTTTTCTAAAAGACCCAAGGCGAATTAAATGTAAACCCTTTATTTTTCTGAACCCTTCTATTACAATTTTTGCTTCCACGAAATAATGACCTTATATTGTTTAACTGATTACTCAAGACTCATGCCTAGTGTTTAGGCTACTAGACCCGTAAAAGTGAGATTTCGTGTTCGGGAGTTCGAGCCTCTTCTCGGTCCGAAGTTATGTCCCTGGCAACGGTACTTCACACAAATTTCCAGTTTGGCTTCGTCCCTTCGGAGATGAAAGTTAAATTTGGAGGTCCGGCCACTAATAGTCTAATAGGGCTGTTAGACCTATTCCGTTTCACTTTTTTTTTTCAAAACTCATTGTAAGTCTTTGTTGCAGTGTGTTAAAAGGTGCTGGTATGTCTTGTTTCAACTTCTGTCCTTACGAGCATAAATAATATAATTAATGAACATATGGTTGACCAACGTTCTTCCTTATGTGGTTTTCTTGTTACTGTGAAATGTTTATAATCTTGTGAGAATTAGGTATTACGCTCAGTGATCACATTATCGATATAAAGCGCTCTGAGCTTATACTTGAATGAGATAATTACTAAAGAGCGCAATATAAGTGCAATCTATAACCAGTATAATAATAA